TTTTTTTTTCGTTCGTTCTGGAGGATACACAAGGTTCAATAAAAATGGTAATATCCACGTATGAAACGTCAGTTTGCGTGACACGTTATTTATAATCCTATTATTTTTCCGCGCGCGTAACATAATATTCCGTGTGAATCACCAGGCTCGATGTGAACGTAGCACGGTATTGAATGTAAATATGCTTTCGAGTAATATCTGCGCAAACATCATTTGGTTCTAAATACATGTTTGACGCGTACGCGTTCCGTGTAACTATAATTCAACGGTATACAAGCGCGCTCGCGGCCGGGGCGAAAATTTCATTTGTGAACTCGGGGGGGGCGTGCAAATTCAATTTCGACTGGGCCGGGTAGGCGATCCGGGCGATTTTAATTCAATGTCTATACTGCGACGTGCAATTTAATTAATTTTTCTGCGTGTACCTTTAAGTCCTCCATTCAGCGTTTCTTCCACAGCGTTTTGCATTCATTTCCTCATTTATTTCCCTCCGTTTGATTTTCAGAAATTTTTAATCTCACCATTTTTCCAATTTATTATTGTTATATATTACTCTCCTGAATAATAAATTTACAATCCAAACAGTGTCACTTCAGAGCGAATAGCCAGTTGAATTGAAAAATCTCTGTGTATTAATAAAATACTATGTAAAAGCGCGTTTTTTTCTTTTTTTTTTTTTTTTGTTTGAAATTCTTTCGTCAATAACATTCGTCTAAAATGATACTTCAATTGGTGATCACGTGTTAACACTTTTGTAGATCTTACAGTTGACTTTGGTTGAAGTATAAATAAATGGATGAAAATATCTGTTAACAGTGGAACAAATGTATCAGAATGTTCTTATAATTTAAATGAATAGATTGAAGTAAATTAAAATAGGTAGATTTGTACAATTGTGTTTCTGTCCACGCAGAAATCAGTATTAATTTCGGCAAGAATACCCACATCAGTCGCATTCACGTTAAAATAAGAAAACTGTGCGATTATTTAAAAACTTCTAGATTAGGATAAATTAGATTCAAGATTGGATCTAATTAGATCTCTTATTAAGTAAAACGTCTTCAATTAAGTTGGGTTTAAGTTAAGTTTAAATTGGATTTAAATTTCAAATTTTTAATTTTTTTTAATTTAAGTAGATTAGGTCAAGTTCAGATTAGATTTAGATCAAATTTAGGTTATAAATAAAGGTTTATAAATAAACAACTCATTTACATTTAAGTTTATAAATAGAGAACGATAATTTTAGATTTAACTTTATAAATAATATCTCTTATTAGGTAAAACTTCTACAATTAGGTTAGGTTTAGGTTAAGCTTAGATTAGATTTAAGATTCAAATTTTTAATTTTTTTTTTAATTTAAGTAGATTAGGTCAAGTTCAGATTAGATTTAGGTCAAATTTAAGTTAGGTTTATGAATAAACAACTCATTTACATTTAAGTTTATAAATAGAGAACGATAGTTGCTCAACGACACACATTTCTCACGCGCAGCTCATTTCCAATTTTCCCGCCGGCATTTAAATTTAAGTTAAGTTTAGGTTTAGGTTAAATTTAAGTTACGATAACATTAACATGCTTACGAAATAAAAAAAATTGAAGAATTTTTTTCGAAGATGAAATTACATTTCATTGAAAAGATGATTAGATAGATCACATATTAAGTAACTTGTACAATTTGGTTAGGTTTGGGTTAAGTTAAGTTTAGATTTAAGCTACGATAACATTAACATGTTTGCGAAATAAGAAAAATTGAAGAATTTTTTTCGAAGATGAAATTACATTTCATTGAAAAGATGATTGGATAGATCACACATTAAGTAAAAAACTTGTACAATTTGGTTAGGTTTAAGTTAAGTTAAGTTTAGATTTAAGTTGCATGTAATGTAAGTAACATGGTTGCAAAATAAGAAAAATTGAAGAATTTCTTCCGAAGATGAAATTACATTCCATTGAAAAGATGATTAGATAGATCACACATTAAGCAAAACTTGTACAATTTGGTATAGGTTTGGATGAAGATACACAACTCAATGTTGTCACAAATTAATAGGAACTTTTAAATTATATGAGACCTTGTTCAAGTATGTTGTTACAAATTAATGGGAACTTTTAAATTACATGAGACCATGTTCAAGTATTCTGCTGTTCAGGTGTATCGGTACCCCTGGTTAGGTTTAGGTTAAGCTTAAATTAATTAGACTTCAGTTAGTTTAGTCTCTAATTTTCATCCATTTAAGTTGCACAAATACACGTTCCTACGTGAAATTTACAAACCAGACGTACAAAAATAGGGTGGCAGTTAACATACCGAGGGTGCCACGCGTCGAATCGTAAAATCCCCTAAGATCGAAAGAAGCTTCGTTTCGTACGAACGATTGGAGCGTGACCCAGCCGACACAGAGCCACTTTGCACCCTATCGAGCGAGATCAAAGTACCCGGAGGAGCCTGCTGGAGTAATTTCTCCAACTCGCAAAGAGCCACCCGCCGGCGGATTCGAGAAATCAAGCGGATTGCGTTTCATCCACTCCGGGACGCCGATTGTACTCCTCGTCGAAATTCGACGACACACATGGCTCCTCCGAGGTCAGCTCGAGGTATCCCGGAAATTGGCCCCCTTTGTAAAATTGCACCGTCGGTAAAGAAGGAGACGAACGTAAGTAACTCGTTCCTTCGAGAGAGAATAGAGGCGCTAGATTGAGGAATTTCGCTCGTCGGGCTATGAAATTTTTCATGCAGAGAGAGGCGAGTTTGATCGTCTGCTAGAAACTGTTGCCTGATTCTAGATTCCAATGCCTCCTTCGAATTGAAATTTTCCTTCTGTTCTACTTGGTCAGACGAGTTAAGTAGCAGTCGCGCAATCGGAAATCGTTTCGACTTGGTTGACTCTGTTTTCTGGAATTTCTTTTTTTCTTCCAATCACTCGCGATATTCCCCAAATAAAGGAAAATTTGGAAAGCTCGGTTTTGTTTATTTGAATTTCAAACGCATCGGAGAAGCTTTTTTTTTATTATTTGTTCGTTTATACTCTGACAGGCAAGGTGATGAAGCACGCGTGTCTTGAGAGGACAGTCTAAAACAGTCTACACTATGCTAATGTAATGTAATTATAGACAACATTCTATAATCAATTTGTTTGTCTGTTTTACGTAATTTACTTTATAGATATTTTTGTGTTATTCAATAGATATATAAATATACATCAAATATATATTTTCTATATCTTACAGATATCTGTAAAAAAATCTATAATTAATTACATCAACTATTACTATTGTATTATACTATTATATTGTATTATACTATTATTACTATTATTATATTGTATTATATACTATTATTACTATTATATTACTATAATTTTGTCACGATTACATCGTAAACATTGCGAGGCTCATATTAATCCCCAAAATTGAAAGGGTTTTTTACAAACTACATGAGCGTAATCAGAGCAGTAGAAAACATAAATAGTAAAACAGAACATGAAACCATTCTAAATAACATTCAACATATTTTCACGTACCTCACCAACACTGACAAAGACATAATCATCGCCTGGGTTCCATCCCACCAGGGAATCAAGGAAGCTGACATAGCAGCCAAAGAAGCAACATCCCTCGTCGGATGTCATCCGAAAACGAATTTCTTATCAAGACCATGTTGTAACATTCCACCATGCCGAAAAACAATCGTGGAACAAAATATGGAACACCTCCAAAAAAAAAAAAAAAAAAAAAAAAAAAAAACCAAACTTCAACTTCGAAGCAGGGGGGGGGGGGAGGGGGGGTAAGTGGTACGTTCCCGAAGATAATATGTAGTTACCTCACTTCCTGAAGTCGTTGTTTCACGGGCAGGATCGGCATTGCCACGCTCTTCTCCAGAGGGAGGGTGGTCGGGACGTAAGGGAGGTCCTCCTCGAAGCTCTCCTCGTAAAACAGCCCCTTCCTTTCGTCGGGCAATTCCTCGGCAAGTTTCTCAACCTTGTTCCTGACAAACTCGATCTCCGAGTCTCTCTCCGACTCCGAACTGTTGCGATCAAGGTCGGAGATGACGCTCGGCGTCTTCACCAGCCCGTCAGCGGGCTTGATCCCGTCGTCCAACAGATCCGGCCTCTTCTCCGCAGCTTTAACCGGCGCTACGTGTTCGCTCTTCGTTCCCTCGGTCTGTTTCTGCTTCTGTTGTTGCCTCGCAACAACTTGTTCTTCTTCCGTTCTGTCGGGAGGTTGATGGACAGGCTGTTGGACAGGCTGTTGGACAGGCTGTTGCACGGGCTCTTTGCTCTTTCTCTTCGGTTTCGTAGCCTCCTTCTTCCCTATCGAGTCCTTCGAGGAACTGCTGGACACTCGATGCTCCACGGGTGGCTTGCTGCTCTCAACGGTGGACGACGACGATCTCACGACGTTCTCGCTGGTCCTCACGTGGCTGCTCGAAAGCTTCGAGTCCTTCGAGGAGCTCCTCGAGATCTCCGAGTCCCTCGACGCGCTCTGCGGTATCACCTGGCTGTCCCGCGAGTACGCTCTCGACGTGGTTTCTATCAGAGCCTCTGTCTTTATCCTCGACGTCGGTGGATAGTGCTCGATCGACACCTCGGTCACGATGCTCCCTGTACGCGGCTCTGACTCGTACTCGTCCAGCAGCTTGGTGGGCGTTTCCAATGGTATCGACACGCTCTCCGACGGCAGGGCCTCCTCGTAGTTCCTGTCGTCCGCGTGGAGGCTTATGAAAATCGAGTCGTCCTTGCGGCTGTCCTCGGCGTTGAACCGAAACTCCACGTGGCCGATGCTCTCCAGGGACGGGTGGCCGCCGGACGCGTCCAACTCCGTGCCGCAGGAGGCCGCTATCGCCTCGTCGTAACTCTTCTTCCGTTCGCGTTTCTTGAACAGGCTCAACGTCGACGAGAACACGCCCTTGTTCTTCGAGTCCTTTTTCAAGCTGCCGGACGCCGCTCGGTCCGCGGCCGCGCGTTCGCGTGACTTCGATCTGCTTCGCAGACTCTCGGTGGTGTCCTTGATCTTCGAGGTGAGGCTACGGCGTGGTTTCGTGCTCGGCGACGGGGATTCTGGGCTCAACACACTGCTGTCTGTACGGGCCTTAAAAGTTGAACACGCGGTGGTCAAGTACATGCAGTGTCTTTTGCTCGAGATTCTTCGAGATTAAGCTAGCGGATCTTCTACAAAGACAAAGCCAGGAATCCAGGTGTGGACGACGTGTGTGAGAAGCGTAGCGTACAAGCCTAGGTTTTTCTTCTACTGTGTTACACGCTCTGTCCGAAAAAGCGACCGAACTTCTTAATCGGGCTTTCGTTCTAGGGAGGAGGAGGTGGGGGAGGGAAAATACCGCTGTTTCGCGTTTCAGAATTTTTGAATTATTACAATTGTCATACAGGGTGGGAAGGAAAATTTGTCTCTAGTTGTCGTAGATGAATTCTATACATCTTCGATTTGTAAAGAACCTGCCGCAAAATTGATCTCAATTTCAAGGTTAAAATTTTTTTTTCTTTTTGCATTCTACTTTTTGTATTCTACTTATCACGAAGGTAAAACTTTCCCAAGAAACCATAGATCACAACCCAATAGTTCTCTTGATAAATTGCGAAAAAGTTCCTTAATCATTTAACATTGCGGACGCGTGCGTTCTAACAGCGACTTTATGGTTTTGGATTAAGTTTCACTAACATTTGATTTGTTATAGTTGCAGCCTCAGTGTGAGTCTAAACTAACTGTTTTGTTATTTTTACACTTACACTTACACTTACTTTATACTTACACAACATTATTCGATACATAAACATTACATCCACGCGTCCAGAAATCATAAAGTCGCTGTTAGAACGCACGTTAAGCGTCCGCAGTATTAAATAAGTTAAGGAACTTTTTTTCCATTAGGTTGCGATCTATGGTTCTTTGGAAAACCTTTACCTTCGTCATAAGTGGATTACAATGCAAGAAAAAAATTTTTTTTATCTTGAAATTCGAGGTCAAGCTCAATTTTTTGGTAGATTCTTCACATGTAATTCTATTAAATCAAAGGAGTAGAATTCATCTATGAAAGCCACGGACAAATTTTTCTTTCCATTCTGTACAGTGAAGAGCATAATTGAGGGCTAAAGAGAGAACTAGTCAGAAGCAAGAGGTTGCTATTTTCTTTCTGTTTTCATTTTCAAAAAAGTTCGATCGTATCTTTTCAGACAGATCGTGTATATTAAATACATGATAAGCATTCGCTGTTAACTGCAAGCGTGGAACACCGGAAATACCTTAAAGAGGGAGGCGAAACTGCTCTTCCTGGAAACGGAAGAGGGACTGGGCGTACGAGAACCTTCGAGGTCACGGACTTTCTGATGCCTTGGTAGCTTCGGGCTACCGGTTACGCTGCTCGTTGTCGGAGTGGTTTGCACGATCTCTTTGAAGTTTTGCGCTTTTTTCCTCTTGTCGTTGAAGTCCAAAGTTACTGGCTTCTGGACCTCCTGCGCTTGACCTCTTGCGGATTGTTGCTGTGTCGTTGTACTTTGTGGGTCTGCTATCTTCTTCACCACTGGTACCTTGAATACACACAAATATAATATCAGTGTTTGATAATATAATATCAGTTTATCATGCCATATAATACCAGTGTTTGATTCAGAATTGAAAATTGACATCAGTCTCTAAATTATTTATTACATTTATTTATTTCTTAATCACGTTATATTTATTCATTCTATCAAGTTTAGATTATTCATTCGCTCAAATTTATTTCATTCAATTGGCATATTTTGTTCTCCACATTGAAAAATTTCTCTCGTGTACGAATAAACTTAATGGATTATTGATTAACGATGTCTGATGCTAAAATTTCTCTATCTTTCAATAGCTATGTAACATGACAGTAAAACAAACATCTATTGAAAATCAAGCATGAACTTTCGCAATTATCTAATAACAACATGTAAAGATTAAAAACAATCTATGATATACCTATAGTTACTTTATTTTGAACATGGATAAATTAAATTTAATACTTCTAGAAATAAATTTCCATTATCTGTGAGAGAGCTTACCTGTATGTTGACCTTCTCGAGGAATCTTTTCGTGATTTCCACTTCCCTTTTGAAGATCTCCTTCCTCTCTTCACGCCCTCGTCTTCTAGGTTTGTCCAGGGGATCTGGCTTCAAGTTCCCATCTACCATCGACACTTTTATACTCTCTGGAATCAGTGCTTTCGTCGTGTCTGCTTCCCGTTTCAGCAGGATTTTCTCCAGGTCGTCGGTCTCCGGCTTCGACGGTTCTATCAAGTTGTCTGCCAGTGTAGGTTTGCTTCCGCAAAACGATGTTTCCAGTAGACATTTGTGCGGACTTGGCGATCTGATGATTAATTACATTTAGAACATTAGAAAATCGATGAAACAAAATTATTTCTTTTCTTGCAAAAGCACGCTCAAGTTACTTTAAGTGCATTTCCTTCATATTGGGATTTTAAAGCAATTAATATATGCATTTCTAGCCACGTTATATAATAGTCTCTATAAATTTCATGAAATCAAGTGTTTATTACAAATAAATATAAAACTTAAAATGATGCAGATACATCTCCTGTTTCAATTTCAATTTAGTAAATCTTCTACTGTACAAGCTAACAGTAATATTAATTTCTTAATTGAATTGCATCAATTATCCAAATACTTGTGTCTATGCTATGATGGTATATATCATAACATAGATAAATATAAAATACAAACAATAATAGTATAATATACTAACAATATCAAAAATCAAACAATAATAATATAACAATATGTATATTGAGTATTATACAGATATGTATATATACGCATAACATTTTTAGAACGAATCAATTCATTGTAGGATACTGTCCCACTGTATAAATCCGGCAGCCGATTAACAATTAACTAATTAATAGTTGATCTACCTGGACGACGTGGCAGAGACAACGGAAAGTTTGCCAGAGGCTCCAGAACCTTGGCTACCCACGGAGGAGAGTCTAGACGTTCTTCCGCTGATGTTCAGCAGAACGATTTCCGAGCAATTGCTGTCTTTCCTCTCTCTGTCCAATTGTTTGCCGCTATAATCGGACAACGAGCCGTCCTCCTTTCGCCTCTTGGCCAATTTCTTCGACTCTCTTTTCAGATCTTGCTCGTGAATGGGATCTTGCAGGTCTAGCTCCTCCGTCGACGATCTTAGATCTTGGGCGTCCTCTTTATAGCCCAGAGTCAGCTTGCATCCAGGTGGAGGTTCTCCGCCTGGCAATTGAAACGTTTCCACTGTTAGTCGGTTTCTCTTTCTATTTCGATTTCGTCGGAATGCATAAAAGTCCGTAGTCCGTTTATTGTGATGTTTAACTCTGATGAATAAATAAATCTCGGCGTACAAATTCTAACGATAACTTCTACTCGAATTCTACTATATTCTATTATATATATATTATACTATAGTATAGTATATATATATTATATATTATATATAATAGAATATATAATATATTTACTATATATTCTACTATATTCTACAATAATGTAATTATATATATAATATAAAAAAATGTAATATATATATAGAGTATTATAATATTATATAATAATGTAATTATATATATAATATAAAAAACGTAATATATATATATATATAGTATTATATAATATTATATAATAATGTAATTATAATATAAAATGACTACGTTTAAAGATACAACTAATAGATAAGCTATCTAACAGTAAGTACCTACTTTTTTATTTCTAAAGTATAAAATCTTCAAACGATTAAAGAAACGTTTCTTTAAAAAAAGGATTACGTCTGTCCAATTCTATTTCATTTAAAAAAAAAGTGTCGATCGAGAACGTCGTGCTGATGCTTGTTATGTACTGGAGAAGTGGGGAATTATATTGTTCTGTTTAATCAATCATGCTCTCGTTGTTCTCGGTGACTGTTAGAATGCTTTGACGGCTCTTCTATGGTATTTTTACATCGCAGAATCACAGTTATCAGTGGAAATAAATCCTCTTATATTTCTAATAAGAAGTGAATTTGGTTGCAAGATGAAATTTCGCTGTTAAATTATTATAACGTTACACGAAATCACTAAATTTTATAATTTGCTAATAAATTACTGTGCGGGAGTTAATAAATAGTTAATAAATTATCGTGCAACCAAAATTAATTATAATGTTATAAATACTTCAATTTCTTTATATTCTATGAAATTACAAACGATAATTTGCAATGAAACCAACCGAAATTAATCATAATACTATAGATACTTCAATCACTTTATACTTTGTAAAATCGCAAGCAATAAAAGCAACAATAATTAATAATTAATGGTACTACGAATATACTTCAATTTTTTTTTTGTATTTTATAAAATTACAGACAATTATAATATATATTATAATATATACAATACAATATATAATATAATTGACAATAAAATTAACAATAATTGATCATTACGTAAATACTTGTAAATGTATGAAAATACTTCAATTTCTTTATATTTTACAAAATTACTAATCTAATGGTCTGGTAATAGAGACTTTGGCCATTAAATTAGGACCATTTTTGATTTCCAACGTCTCGCACGTTTCTAGTAAAATTGAAGAGTCTGAATGCAATAGTACATTTAATGGTAAATATTCTGTGAACCGTTAAAGTACACATAATGATAAAATTTATTCTGTTTTGTTGAAGTGCACGTACAAGTGCAAAATACAGAAAGTCTTGCATATCACGTCGCACATCAGTAGTCATAGTATCATCATATCTGCACTTTGTTTTCAATTTTTCTTTTTCATAATGCAAAATCAATAATACACTTTTAGAGAGATCCAAGTGGAGTATTGATCCTTTCGTCGTAAATGTCCATTCTCAGAATAGATACTCGGTTACTGATAAATAACAATACATTAATTACCTACAGTGACTCCCATCAATATTCGAGCACTAGGTGTTGAAGCAACGATATAATTTTGCAGAAAGAAATCGCGCAATAAACTTGGTTTTAAAGGCTCGAAGACTCTGCTTTCTGAGTGTATTTATTTTATTCGATTTATTTTGTTCCCAGAGATTTTTCACGCTACGTTTAAATTTTAGAGATTCACTTTTTGAATAATAAGATAATACATGTCACAAGGGTGGGAGAATATCAAAATTTTAGTGATGCTTAGGTTAGGTTAGGTTTATAATAAATCTTGGCGCCAAAAGAAAAAAAGGTTGGGAACCATTGGTTCAACTACTTATTGCTAGTCTCTGAAAATTGGTGAACATGTGCTTACAACTTCATACCCTTCCATTTTACTAAAAACGCGTAGAAACACTGAAAATTTTCCATTGGTGAAAAAGATGTGATTGAAAAGTTAAAAAAAGAAAAACTGCATAGATTTAAAGGAGAACGAGAGTAGAATAGAAAGGAACGATTACCCATTATCTTCTGTGAAAAGGTCGTGTCAAACATTCAGCCCGCCAGGCTGTTTATCGCGCCATCGCGTTACGAATTCGCGTTGCGCGATAAAAAGGGAAACTCTCCGAGTATTCTCTCCGCGAGACACGTCGAGAAATCGTGTCGCGCTTCTTCCGCGCCGTGGCGGCCCCTTTATGTGTGTCGGGCCGCTGGTCTCGACAAAGGCTCTCGAATATAGGACAAACTATAGGCGCAGCCAGGCCTCGTCCCTCTTCAATTCCCCCCATAACGTTACGCCGTGTGTATTAATTCGTGGCACACACTCGGGGCAGAAACAGGGCTCGGCCTGTTATCTCGGGGGAGCGTTTAGAGAGACACCGGTGAACAACACACACCGTCGGCTGTTCTCGATCGATCGCGACCTGGCCTCGTGGCAGCCTTCTTCTTTCGCACGTCCGGCCGAAGAAGAATCGTTCTCTGTGACCGTATGTCCTCTCCGTTCGTCGTCGAACATCTCGCGTTCGCGTTTCATCAACTGACTTTCACAGTTCAATTCTGTTCAATTAGCTTCGCGACGTAGAAGTAACACGCTCTGCGAGGGTGTCAGTGGGTAAAAAACGTTTTTCGCGACATCTTTGTGAAAACAAACGACACGTTGGCAAACTCTGTTTCTATGAATATTAGGTTATGTAAACAAGCCCGCTCGAATTGAGCCATCGATGACGAAATTAATACTGGTGTGTCATGTGCTGCTGATTATTTCTTTGCGAATGAAGTAAGTAACTTTGAAAGTTTCGTTTATCCAAAGAGAAAAATTAAAGTATGGAATATTATCGAATGATATCGCGTCAACATTAGGTGAAGAGTTAATATTTTATATTCTGTTGCAAATACACGGCAGAGGTTGCAAAAGGAAACTCCTCATATGTTAATTACCTCTTTGATTCTAGAATTTTTATATTAATATAGTAATAATCAGTACTTTTTTGAGTCTACAATTTTTATATTAGTATAATAGTAGTCGGTACCTTTTTGATTCTAGAATCTTTATATTTTTATTTCTGTACGTGGTAAAATATTTTGTTAATCATTTGTTTTCACAAAAGTATTGCACGAAAACTATGAATTACAGCGACACTCATTAATATTTAAGTTGTTATAACTTTGTAAAAAAGAAAAAAAAAACAAATACATATGTACTACGTAAATGGGTTAGTATTTAACAAGTGGACCTTTTCACAGATAGACTACTGTTTCTAACAGGAATTTAAAGCACTATGAACGATAGAACCACAGATAGACCTACTAACTTGATACCATTTATGCAATGCATTACCAGAACCCTCTTGCACAATAATTTATTCATTAATTATCAACTCGAGGAGAGACGAGTGTAAGCTGTAGGTTTCTGTTCTACAAATAATGAAGTTATGTCAACGTAGCATAGTCAAGTGATTCACGCAATTTGCAAAACTCACTTGGAAAATCTTTGTTACCTCCGTTACTAGGCTATGGATTTTTATAGATTTATATGGGAAATTGAAAATTGCAAAAAAATAAACTCAGTACTTATTGTAATGTTTAACAAATAAAAAATTTAATAAACAATGAGATAAAATAAGAATTTTCGTGTTTGATAAGTAATTAATATAACGCATAATTATCATAATCATAAACACAATTAAAAGTTTTTACCTTTGGACATAAAAAGTTTAATCACACAACATTGCAAATCCGAAAATAAGTGTATTCGTTATTACCGTGCAAGAGGATCCGAATCGCTACTTGAACTTTTCCTCTACGCTAAATCATCTAACAACATCCTCAAACATACTCAAGGTTTCGAGTTTCATCGACTATTTTTCTCAAACAAACACGTGCGAATCACACGGATACCTTTCAGAGGGAGGCATACAGAGGTTCATCATCTCCAAAAGGGAAGGGCATCGTTATATGTAGCTGCCTACTTTATCGCCTCCATCCTCGACGATTTAATTCTAAAGGAACCGATACACGCTCTACCAAACGATAGAGTCTCGAACGTCTCGTTAGCTGCAGAATTGAAGAGAGACCCAATGCCTACGACGAATTATTTTCCTACCCTTTTACCCTTATGAAATAACGAAACTTGCAGAGGAGAGACAATTGATATATATATACAGTGTGTCAAAAATTATGGGCACAGCTATTTTTTTTTTTTTTGTCAACACCTTTATAAAAAAAACAAATGATACATTTTCATACCTGTAACCTGTTTTTCGTCAAACGAAAACCCTTTTATTAGGTTGTGTAATAATGTAATAATGAGTAATGTGTGATAATGAATAATGAAGTGATGTGTAATAAATGAAATCAACGTGTATTACAGTTGATTATTCTTTACAAATGAATTAAGTAACTTTGAAAGTCTTGTCTTTTTGATCAAAAATAAAATTGCAAAATGTATATGATATATGTATCTCTACATTCTTTGAATTATATGATTCAAAGAATATCTTTCTTGTGTTGAAACGATTAACATTCCAATGTTAGGAACAATAAATAAACTTAAATCGTTCATCAATCATAAGTCCAATATTTTCTGTAATAATAAATGATTTTTTGAATACTTCAAATATTGTGTATTATACTTGCAATTCTTATAGTGTTCGTTTTCTTCTTACTTACAATTATAAGCAACTTTCTTCACATTGTATTTATTGCATTTTCTATGATTTATGCTTTTAATGTCGTCGAAAAAATGAAACGTCAAGAGGTGAATCTAATGAAACAATTCATTACATACAAAAGTAATGTACGTTGTAGCAATTTCCAATAATGAGCAATTCACAATAATTCAATATGCGTAAAAATATGTATATATGTATTGATAGAAACAAATTTTGTTTAATGTGTCATTTGTTTTCACAAAAATATTGCAAAATATTTGAAGAAAAGAAGACTGAGCGTGCCGATACTTTTTTTTCATCCACTTGTATAAAACTTGTTGTTGATCTGTGAAGAGACAAGTCTGTCGTTGTTCGTTACTCAAAATTTCCACGGTGACACCGAGAGATTACAGAGAGTTAACGAGCAGTGTCTAGTTGAAGATATACAACTCGAATCTCGTCACACGTTCTCGCGACCGTGGGGAATTCGATTTGCTCGCAGGAACTATTTAACTTCCAATTAGCCGCCGCGCGAGCAACTTCTTTCCATCTCCATCGAGCTCGTTTCCAAACTTCACTTCTGGAACGAAAAGGTTCCTTCGGTGCGTTCTTGGATCGAGCGCGTTAACAGGAAGCTCAAACAATCCTAATTCACTGTCGATGAGTCATTCGTGCGATTTTATCGCACCCACGGTGTTTCGTTCGTGGCAGGGATATAAAATATCCCGTAGAGGGTGGAGAGTAATATTCGCGTGACTTGTTCACCTTTGTAATGTTGTTACGTGCGAACGCAAATTTAGACGTAGCGAAAACGCAGAAACTGCCAACGATAAATATATACATACAGGGTGAGTCACGTGAACTTGATCACCTTGAGCATTGCCTTCGTTGTTGAAGAAAGAAACTTTGTTGACAGAAGTTCTTCTCGCGATTTGGCGGCGTAATAATTTCTTTGTGGCTTTCGGTGATTTTAAAGATGGAATCTTATACTTTTTTTTTTTTTTTATATACACCGATCGATGTAGCTGTTTATCTTCTATAAAAAATGTATCGACCTATCTATTTTGAAACTTAATTACTAACTTGAGAGATATTTTAACTATAATTTTTTTTTTTTTTTATAAAAATCTATGCATGAAGGATAAGAAATTAATAGTTTTTTTAATAGGTTAAAATTAAAGTTAGTGGTTTTTTTAATAGTTTAAAATTAAAGTTAAAGTTAATAATTTCTTAAATTAATAGGTTTTTTTGACATACGTAGGTCAACATTCTTTTACAGAGAATTAATTCGATTAGTCCAGTAAAATATATTAGTGCACTTTAAAAAAAAAGTGAAGATGAGTTTGAAATGACCTTAAAAACTCTTCCTACAAATGTCGTATCAATGGCGTAAATGGCTATCTCTGTACAGAGCAATTTTTGTTAACAAAGTTTCTTCGTATCTTCAGAAACAATGGAGATACTCAGCATGATCAAGTTTACACGACTCGCCCTCTATACACATAAACTTTCCATCGCTCGCACATGAGAAAATTCGTCCAACCGGAAACGATATCTCAATCATTCTCTTCAGTACGTTTTGCCTACATTTCTACAAGTCGCAGCATCGTTAACATAATTCGCATAAACTAGACTTCTCATTGCTTCTTACGAAAGTTGAAAAATATGGAGGACATTATTCTTCCGGAGATTGAAACCATGTGTCATTAACTCTTGTTACATTATATTTGCAAACCTGCTTCGTTGAAAAGAATACAGTGAAAATTTCGAAACTTCGCATCAAACAACATTTAAATGATTATTTCCAATGCCGTATTCACTTCGTAAATATAAATTGCACTGGTGGTAGATGATACAAAAAACGACTTTTGATCAAGGGCAAAGAGCTAGAAAAAAAACAAAAACAAAAGAAGAAGAAAGAAAGAAAAGAAGAAGAGAAAGATGATCTACCTGCGAGGAGTTCCCTCTCGGGCGTCGAGTCTCTGGAGTTACTGTCCTCATGGTGGGAGGAACTGCTCGCCCTGCTGATGTCAATTCTCGGCGTGCTGGGTGTCTTAAGCGAACTACCAGGCGTTGCCGGCGTGGTGACCTCGACGATGCCTGGCATTCGCGCAGCCGGTTCCCCCTGCATTCAAATTCGTAAGGCTGGTTTTGTGTCGTCGAGTCACAGTCACTGTTGTGGGGTGTGGTTGAGTGGTTGGCTGATCGGTTGATGGTCGGTGGACAGGACCAGCAACACGCACACCTAGGGTGCTTCCGGGGGCAAACCTAGGAGCTTCGCAAAACACGCTTTTCTCTCGAAAGAGGCGAGGGGGGAGAAAACGCGCACGCACGTTAATCCCGGCGATCGGACGACGACGAGAGATCTCCCGGCGACTTTTTACACACACGGACCTTCTCGAGCAGCGGTATCACGCTCGAGTAACAGCCGACTTAGAGAGGAGACTCGGGGAGGACACAGGGAAGGACTCACGTTTTCCACCTCGTCGGACAGGTCTTCGAAGGATGCTATCGGCGCTGGTCCAAGCTTCCTCTGATGAACGCTCGGTAATCCTGACGCCATATTTTTCGATAGCTCAGCCCTCGATGAAGCTGCAAATATATATATATATATACCCTTTATTTTAGTCTGGATCGTTCCACGCGACATGCTCCACGGAAGCTTCGAAGCTTGCAAATTTTCCCCTGAAAGAGTTCAGTTGAAAAGTCAGTCTTCGAAATTCATTGGCTACTAGCTACGGGGACGTTCTTACTGGAATTAGAATTATCTCGATTATTGGACTGATTCTACTTGGTTGTTATTGGAGGCTATAAGAAACATTCTTCAGATATGTGTATTTCGTTGATTCTTTAAAACTTGGGGGGGGGGGGGTCTCGTAACGATTATATCTTTCAATTTTAAAAAAGTGACAATTCTTTCTTCCCACTTTTTAGCTACATTCTAGTTTGGAGAGAGAGAGAGATAAATATTCATCATTAGAAACAAAGTATCTCTAGCGGCCTGAATAATTGAAAGACTCGAAGACTCGAAAAATCAAAAAGAAATTCAAAGTTTGAAATATCCAAGGTTCGAAAGTCCAAAGACTCGAGAATATCCAACGATTCAGATATCGAAAGACCGAACATTCAAAAGTCCAAAGATTCAAACATATTTACATTGCACTGCGAACTCGCCTTGTACCGATGGAAACGCGTTTGAGAGTCGCTGGTTGAGGAAAGCAGCAGCAATGCCTCGCCGACAAACAATTCCGAATGTGTATCAAGCACACAGAATTTTCATTTCACGTTGTATCTTTCAGTACACACGTTCGTAACGACACGATTTTCAATTACAACTTGCGACATTTGTCCCACAGAAAAGTCGGGAAAGATATTTCTTAATCCTGAGAATCCACGCGTGTATTATCGGAACGATGATATCTGTCAAGTCGCGAATCAGTGACGAGCCGAACCGAGTGTGTCGAAGAAGCTAATCAGTGCCGGGCTAGAACGCGTTAGAACGTTTAAGCGAAGGACAAATCGATTAAACCCGGCGTTCACGTTGGCGTGCAGGATGTGCCGACATTGAGGGGGCCACTTGTCATACGTCGAGCACCAACCGGCACCAATTTTCCATCAAACGATCTCTAAATGTGTTTCGCGCGACCTTATTACCTCGTTTTCGCGTACCCTCGTTTCCTCGCGGTCTCGTGAAAGCCAACGTCGTGAAAAGCGTCGTCCTTCGAATACTTCACAGCCTTTATATAGGTTATGTTTATGTAGGTTAGGTTTATGAGTGAACAGCTTAAAGTGAATCTTCCATGGAGAAAAGAGAGAGAGAGAGAGAGGAGACAATTGAATCACGAAAACCGTGCAATCTTGCAAAAGCTAGCGGGAAAGAGAGTTCCCCCTTGAAACATCCAAGTGTCAACAAGTTGCCGGCAGAAACCGCGAAAATTTACACCAACTACCGTGCAGTTGACTACACGGAACAAACCCTCCGTGAAAGTGGCATTTTCCCAAGTGTACCGGGGGGGGGGGGGGGGGGGGGCGGCACGGTTGAAATTTAACGACACGCCGGGTCCTTAAGTACCTAAATGATTTAGAATTGTTTTAATGACACGTTCTAACGTGCTTGTTGAAAACAAGTGGAAGATGCGGAAGACTGATCATTTTAACGACGAAAAGAATATTGGAAATACATCGGTTATAATTGGACTACGAATTTTTATATATTTTTATATATTTTTACTGTATTGTGAGAAAATATACGAACTTCAATCTTCAAGACTGTAGCAAATTTAGTTATGAAAAAAAAATCCTTTCCAGTATTCGGTATTCATTCGTGTTTGAATTTGCAAAATTTTTGAGAGATGTATCTTTAGATAATTTTTCGCTGAACTGACGTAAAGGCGTCATTGGAAAGAAAGTAGAAGCTTTGAGATTGAATACACGTTGTCAGACTCGATATAAAATTATTGACAGTTTAAACTATTTTATATTAGAGCTGTCTTAGATCTATCTTATATATAATTTCATAGCTATATTAAAGATCGTAGTGTCTACTTTTACTCGTAACGATTAAGTAAAGACATTTTTTCTCTCAAAAATTTTACGGATAAAATTGAAAACTAAACTAATTTTTTAAAGTTAAACTAATTCTTCGTGAACGCGAGAAAAATATTTTTCTTCCCCCTAACAAAATTCACCACTCTCGAGTTCATCTCTTAAAATTTGTCACGCCACGATTTTCTAAATGCCTGAAATTTATGAAATTCCAATCTCTTTAAATTTTCTTCTGCGCGTAATAGAAGCTAGAGCCACGACTGATACAATCGGGTGTATTTAATTTTGGGCCACGAAACATCACTGGCACAGGCCACGTTTAAAACGATCCTCACGTTCGCGCGAAAGTCACGAACGTGCCGGTGTTCGTCCGTGAGTTCGTTTGGACGAAGACGAAGATCCTCCCGAGACGATCCTCCCGAACAATTGATTTACCAGGAGATTGGACGACGCAAAAACAAGACACCGTGAAAGAGATATGTCTCAGCGAATTGTTTCTCGCTTCTTCGACTTTTCCATCCAGTTTCCATCCTGATGCTCGACCAAGCTAATTTTCCACTCGTTCACCTGCAACGGTTCTATAAAATGAGCTACCCTTTTTCAATTTCGTCCAACGGAGGAGGAATCGTTTGACGTTTAACTTCACTTCATTGCTGTGTGAGATCTTTCATCTCTGGACAATGATTTATCAATTATTTATAAGTTAGTAGAGCCTGACATCAATCTTGGAAGTGGAATTTCTCTTGAACGAACGTGCACACCGCTTAATTTCAAATCGTCGAGGAAGATTTTCAAGGAAAGTTTGACCAATTAGAGCGCTATCGATAGCTGAAGCATAAAATTCAAAGAAATGGAAAAACTTTATGACACAATATAAGGTACACAAGCTTCTATTTATCATTTAAATCTGCAAGAACTGTTTCACATTTATAGTTTATAGGTCACACAACTTGTTCGAGTTTGGTACTTTCAGTGTTGATTTATGAAATAAATGAAAATAGTGGCACAAGCTATTTCTGAAAGAATTTTCTATTCTCTGTTCTGAAGTTTAGATACTGTATATCAATCTTTTGAAAGTGTGTCGCATTCCACTCATGAATAGATTAATTCCAGGCAACTGTGGAGAAATATAACTCATTAATGAGTGATGCTTGCTCCACTTTTCCATTGAACCTCTCAATTATACAAACGATTACAATGCAGATACATTCTTGTTAGAATAAATTTTAATATCCCCTGATTGTCAGTCTTTTGTGTCCCTTCTTTTCTCTTAATTGTTTCGCAATCAATATTATATTGCATTATACATATTAGTATATTCTATTTTATTATATATATTACATATATTTTATATCGAGAATGATAGCAGGCGTTTTTAAATTGTACCACAATCAATGTGATATTGTATTGTATTATATACATATTATCTATCTAAAATGATAGTTAGTGTCTCTTTAATTGTTTCATAATCAATATGACGTTATATTATGCATATTATATATTGTATTATATTATACATACACTGTCTATCAAGAATGATAGTTGATGTCTTTTAATTATTTCACAACCGTAATATATTACATTATACACACATTGTATATTAAGCATAATTGTTAGTTTCTTTTTAACTTTTTCATAATAAATATTATGTTATATTATATTACACACATGTTGTATATCAAGAATAATAGTTGCTGTATAGTTGGAAAATCGTTGAAGCGACGGTAGTATACGGTTGTGTATTTAACACATTGAAGCATGAGATTCAGTCTGAGCCCCTCGAGACTTCGTTGCTAATTGGCTCAGCGTATCAACGACCTTTCTTACGTTGTGAGCTTCCTTTTCCTCTCTGACGTACGAAGAAAGAATAAGCTTGAAACGGACTAATCTTTTTAATTGATTAACTCGTTTGCGAGTTTGTGGTTCATTTCACCGATCTCTCCCCTCTTTATCTCGTTAATTAATTATCAGTTGGGAAACAACTAATTGCCTCCCTCGTTCGTTAACACTTTTTTAATCTTTTAAGGATCACATTGATGATTCGGGTTTTTTAATACTATTAGTAGCTATAAAAAAAAAAATTGTATGACCAAATGCAATTCGTCTCCTTTTTAAGCTTAAGATTTCTACTTTCACAGTCTAGTATTTGTTTTTTTTCCATAGATGATTTTACACAACAGTTGGGAAAGTAAAGATAATTTTATCTCGAAAATTGCAAAAATTCAAACTTCTCTAAAAGATGATTTTTTAAAATTTGTAACAAATTTTTTTGCACCACCGTTTTATTGAACTTTGAGCGTTAGGATTAAAAGACGAAATGTTAGGATTTCATAAATTTTTTAAAATAACTATTTAATATTCAAAGTCCAATAAAATACAAGTTCCGAGAATTTGTTGTTGAAGAGAAGACATTCATTCTTCAAACTGATGGTAAATTTAGTCACGAAAGAAATTTTTTTATTACTTTTAGAGACAGTTCTGAATTTTTACAATTTTCGAAAAGAAAAAGTATCCTCTCACTTTCCCATTCGTTGGAAGACATAAATAAAATCATCTTTGAAAAAAAATAAATAAATAAATTCAGGATCGTGAAACAAAACTCTCTAACTTTGAAATGAGACCAAGTTGATTGTTACGTGATTTCCTTTTTTATAAAGCTGCAATAACATTTGTTAATGATTGTACTCTTCGCTGTGTTTAATTATCAAAACTGAACCGTGAATGAGTTAATAGCCGTTCATAATTCAAACTGTGATCACGATAGAAGTAGTGATAAATCATGAACGAGTCGGAAGAGTGAAATGGAAGAACGAGCGAAAACTTTGGTGGAATGGTTCGCCTTCGTTGGAAATCTATCGTGGTTCCGCTCGGCTTCCGGCCAAATTCTCCAACTTTAAGGATATTACGGGCCTGATATATCGACGGATCGTCGTCCGACCTTTTCGAACTTCTCTTCCTTATTTCGAGATCCCTTCCAATCTCAACTTCCCTCATTGTTTTCCCTCTCAAACGTCGTCGAATTTCCACGAGGACGAAGATTGACTCGAGGAGGGAGCAATCTTCTAAAGACCTTAGAAGAAAAATGTTTGGAAGAAAAGTTGCAAGACAAGTGCCTATCAAGAAACTTGAAAACAAATATTATTTGCAATATCACATCGAAGATATATGTTGTAGATTGGGAAATATTGGAAATATATGTTATATATTGGAAATTAGAAATTATTTGCGATATTATATCGAAGGTATGTGTTAGACGTTAGAAAATATTGAAAATGTATCTTATGTGTTAGAAATATCTGTATAATATGATATTGACACAAGGGACAAGTTGATTACACGATAAATGCAATAACTAACAAATAAAATTGAAAATCGATGGTATCAGAATCGTTAAGAAGTATAAAATCGCATATAGAAATATAGAAACATGTTTCTTTCAATTGATACAATTTCTGCCTATACTAAAAAAACGTTTGATTGTTATTCAGTGTTGTCTTTGTTATTATCAATTACTTAATCTGCAGGTTAATGTGCAATACATTTTAACATGTGGTGCATATTTTTTAATCAACTGGAAGATAAAGAAAGCGAAGTTTGAAAACAAAAGCATCGCTGTCCATTAAACCAAAACAAAGATGGGATTTCCTACAAGCGTCGGGCGCATGCGCATTAGACGCATACGCGTGACGCGCATGCGCCTAGGATACGTACGCATCAGATGCACGCGCGTCCACCTGATGCGAATGCAACACTTAAAATTCGCGCTGTAACAAGAGTGTAGAAACGCATTTCGTTCAGTTAAATATCGCTGACACACAAGAACAACACTGATATTTCGAAATCTATTTTAAATCTGTACGAAATTTACCTCTACGTTCAATGAAAAAAAACTAATCACCGTCCAATTCTGTTGCTATTTACCTTATCTTACCGAATTTTTCGTACTTCATGTATTAATCTGTCCGAACACCGCACTGAACATTTTAAAATAATAAGAAAACGATTTTCAGAACGATCGGAGACTGCGTAGAATTCTTTTCAACATCCAGTGGAACGAACGACGCTCAGACGCGCGTCTAACCAGCGTCGACCTCTACTACTGAAGCGACTCGCGACGAGACCTGACGGCCAGAGCCTATCCTTTGGACCTCCGGAACGCAATTTCGTGCTCCGTTTGCCTTGACGACGGGTGTACACACCAAACTTGGATCGAGCCCGATAACGTGACCGAGCCAGCCGTGTTTACGGAGACTGTTTTTTCGACGGGCAAGTTCAAAGGGATTAGCTCACGGTCTGTGGCGTTCGTTTTTCAGTTACATTTGTCTAGACCAGGTAGAACTCTCCCTTTGTGTTTCCTGTACACCTTTTTTCCCAACGTGTCTCTATTTCTTTCTTTTCTCTCTTTATAGGGAAAATCATCGGGACTATCGGGACAACACATGTGATTTTTGAAATTTTTTAAAGTGTGATTGAATTAAAATTGAATGAAAATTTCTGACAGCGTTAAACGAATATAATAGACTTCTTGAATTATTAAATGAGGACTGTACACAAGGATTCCTCTAATTTCTCTTATATAATCTGCACAAAGTGCAATCTATTAAACGTCGATAATAAGGATTAACTATGAGTTTCAAAGTGCAACGTATTGTATGTGAATCACATTGCAAGCTTGATGATCAGCAACATTTTCTCATCTTAAATATTATTATTATTAATATTAATAACTATTAATACTTATTTCATGTAAATGTTTGAAAGTATGTATATTCTTGGTACATGATCAGAAATGCAAGAAATTTTAGGACCAAAGAGATAATTTTTTGTCAATATCTAAAAACATGTATTTTTGTGGTGTATGATAGCAGAAATGCAAGAAATTCTGACACACCAAAAAAGAAGCAATTTCTCTCTATAAATATATGAAATTTTCATTCACTGACAATTTGATAAATTGTTCATTCCGAGTTCCTTCATTGAATTCCTCTATTTTATTACGTTGTCAAAAGGTTAACGACTCCGAGGGAAGCACGGATGGTTAATGCGTACGGAGTGGCTGCAAGAGCATGGAATAGTGCCAATAGCTGAGAAACGTCTATCTGAAGGGAAGTTTGATGAAGGAGAGAGAGAAAGAGAGAGAGAGGAGAGAACCAAGAGAGGTCTAATAGCCATCCAGACGAACATTGAGACGATTGGTGCGCATTCTCTGATAACGCCTGTTCCGGGCAATAATTCAGTACTATTGGTTAGATCTGCACTAAAACTGCTATGCTCGAGTGCGAAGTGAAACTCTATATATACATATAATAAGATTATTGTAAGATTAAACATTCAAAGGGAACACTATACTTTGAATATTTTTACGTACATTATATACGTATTTCTGCACCTATAAATTTTTCATAAATGCACAAAAATCCCTAATCAGTACTGCCCCCTGAAGTGTCAAAAGTAAGATTCTACAACATCCTCCTCGTCTCTGTCCTCATCATCGAAAAGGAAGAGATCGTCATTAACATCCTAACCTCGCAAATCCGTCTCAAACGAACCTCTTCCAGAATCGTCTGCTACAATCGTCTCTGCCATGAATAGGAGGTAAATAGACGCGAGGAGGAGACGGAGCGGCGAGCCACGTTAGCAGACCAGATTCGTTCCATCTAGAGGCTAGACAACTCTATTCTCGGATCGACGGACGCGCAGTTCCAGCGAGGCCGCGGCTGCAGGAGAAAATCAGAAAACAGTGAGCCCGAGCTTCGAGGTTTCTCGAAGCGGCGGTTATACCGTCGTTATAAATAGAAGAGCCTTGTTAGCGGTTACACACGACGTATTAGTTAGGTAGGCACGTAGATAGACGCAACGCTTCTTTCCTTCTTTTCACAAAGTGGAAGGAGGAGAGAGAGAGTCTGGCTGCCGATAGCCGATAATCGTTCCACCCAGTCAAACGAACAACCGTGCCCGATGGATAATGAAAGCCGGACGACGAAAGGTGGTCCCTCTGGTCGCGTTGTTTCGTCGCCCGTTAACTTCTTCACTTTTAACCCCACGGTGTGCGTACAGGAACGTACCTCTCTCTCCGTTCTCTCATTCCGTCCTATTTCCCATCGATTTTTCTTCTACCGGTTGTTACACCTTCCTCTCTCTCTCCCCCCCCTCCCCCTCTCTCTTTCTGAAAAGCGCTGAACGTACAGCAGAACGTTCCTATAACTTGAGAAACATACCTCTATTCATATCAGACCATTTGCAGACACTGTCATGCGTTTATGAATCGTATTGCGTAGAAGTGAAGTTTTGTTATGACACGTAGAACGTATGAATTATCTTCGTTCACCTGAAAATTCTGTGGTTTCCATCTGAACTCAAACCTAACCTAAATCTAAAACTATCATTACCCGAGTATCTAAACTAGATGATAATTCTCGTATCAGTTTTTCCCTCATTCTCTTTCTAAAATGCATTAAAGTACGGTAGAACCTTCTATAACTCGAGAGATACACTTTTGCTCAAAGAAAAGTTCGCAGAATTATCAGAACACTTGTAGACACCATAAAATGTAAATGAAGTTTTTATTAGAATGTATGAATTCTTCATTCACTTGAAAATTCTAGTTTCCATCTATACTTAAGTTCTAAGCCAGGCCATCTATCTTTAGTTTTTTAGTTTCTGTCTATTTTTATCTAACATAAGTTCTAAACTAGATAATAGTTCTCATATCGGTACTTCCTCTCTCTCTTTTTCTCTCTGATTCTCTTCCTAAAACGTATCAATTAATTGTCCTGTAACTCGAGAGATATACTCTATTTATACAAAAGCTCACAAAAATTGTAGACACTATTTATAAATACATATAAAAATATTTTTATTGCTATAACGTTGAATTCTTCATTCATCTCAAAATATAAATCTTCTTTATTTATTGTTATCAATTAATTCTTTATTCCTCTTTGCTCAAAATTCTGTAGCTTTCATCTATCTTTCATGTATATTTTATATTTAACTGAGTTAAGATAACCAGATAATAATTCTTAAATAATTTCCCAATCTTACGTCACATAAGTGTCTTAATATACTTGAATGAGAGTGCAACAGCGTTATATAGGAGGTTCTGCTGTAAATTCTACAATTTCTACCATCGACTCGATTGTTAATAGCATGTTTAAACATTCAACAGCCCAGTTCTGCGACGACAGATGGGAGAAAAAGTGCCACGTTGGGGATTACGATTCCAGATGGTAGAAGAGGAATGCACCTTTGAGAAAAAAGAAAGTAAAGTTTCATTCAATTCGATCTTTGATGAGAACACGATTTTTCTGCACGATTTACGGTGATCAAATTGAGGTAAAATCTTAACCGCGGTTTGAGACGAATTTCAAGATGAATTCTTTTTTCTTCTCTGCAACAATTTTCGTAAACGCAACTGAAGAAATGAAACTTTAAATTAAGATTAAATATTATTGTGTATAATTTTATTTTGAATATCTTTTATATTTTATATTGTATGTGTATAATATAATATAATATATAATATTATACAATAAATATTGTATTGTATAATTATATATTGTATAAATTTACGTATTTATACATTCACAGACTATGCAAGAATATATATAAGTATTCAAAGTATAATACTTATGAATGAAACGAATCTCTGCTTATGTTTCATTTTTTCAGTTGCCTACAAGTGTGAATTTGCATGAAGATCTAGTCAGTCTACTTATAAAAATAAAGATCATAAACAATTGAAATTAAAAAGAGACACGCTAGTTCTATTTATTTACATATAATAAGATTCCACGCCTTTACATTGTTCAACTATTTAAGAAGACAATGTTTGTTGAAGAAACAATTCGTGGCAAATCGACACAAACTTCTACAACTTTGGCCATTAATAATTCAAACGATAACAGTTTATAACATACTTATGCTTCTTTTTCCTGTTTTTTTTTAAGTTTATTGACTTTTCAACAGTGAATATTATGGTTCATTGCTATTCTACGTATGCATCAAAATGTAAGATTATAGTTCTATTTTTATCCATATAATAGCGCATTTTTTAACCAATTTTTTAAACAATACTATCTGAGAATATTTACCACTTATGTATTGACGGTTTTACATTATTCTTTTAAGTAATTTTTATCAATATTTTTAGTTTAATTTAATATTTAATATTAAATTTAATTATTATTTTTATTTTTATTAATGTTCAGTAACTATGGTGTTCGAAAAATCATTTCCCACTACATATTTATCTAATATAATGTTATCGAATCAATTGCTGTTTAATATATTACAATACTCGTTGTATCAACAAAAATATAAATTTTATTTTACAATTAACAACAGTAAACTAGATAAATAGAAAGTTTAAAATTGTAAAAAATTCAGATCACACACATTGTATGCATTTAATGTAATTTATTTGTGATTTGAAATTTCGTTATCATTTGTTCTTTGTAAATAAAATTGACACTTCCACCAACAAGCAGAATCGTTTTCATGTATGAAGAAACAGTCAATTCAATCAAACTGTTACAAATATATAGAGTGACATCTGAGTATTAATAAATAGACTGTGGATTTTTATGCAAACTCATAAAATTCAATTGAAAAGTGTAACATCTCTAGAGAGATATTACATTATAAATACTGTAAACTGCACTGCACTCTGGCTATTTTATATACAAATATCGTACGTATATCTTTTCATATTATGCGCACTCACAACTTTGACGTCAAAATTTTAAATGTCAAAGTTTTCTGTAAATGCGTCATAAGAATCACTGTATATACAAACACATATCGCACAACGTGTATTTAAGTTTCTACCGAAGTCCTTTATTTCTTCGCAATATTACACTCGCAAAATAATATTAGAGAACGAAGAATCACTCTAATGTTACAGAAATAATAAGGTTGACTCATGTTCACGCGAGAATTTCGCCTCGTCACTGACGAAGCGTAAATTGGTGGCATCTTTTGCTCGTAGGAACTGACGCGTTAATGGACGGTGAATTGGAAGCGTGTCGTCGCGAAACAGGACGATCTATATTGGTGTATCTCTTTATCATACATATATCATACGTACATTACTGAAGCAGTATTTCGTAAATATCGAGAAATTAACGAGCAACTGATTCAATGGATTTTATAGAAAAGCGATATTAGAAGCGTTGTTCAAGTTGAACAGTTTGCGCAGTAAGACCGACGTGTGTTCGATTTATTTATAAACGTCCTCTTGCTCTGACGGCTTTCAAAATTCCGATCCCATCCGGATATTTTCTCGCACACTCTCTCCCGGCGAATCGATTTTATCGCGACACAGCCTCGCAACACACCGTGACCAATCCTCTGCTCTTGTCTAGCACAATGACAAAAATTAGAAAACAAACGGAAGAGAACATGAAGAGAAAGAGAGAGAGAGAGAGAAAGGGAGAGAGAATTTAAATGACCCTGGTTCAATCTCGACTCAATTTCCTGCAGCTTCAGCGCGACGAAAGGTTAATTATTAGTCACCGAATGAGAAACGTTTCACCGACCGTGTGAAAACGAGATTCACCGGTCGAGAATAAGGGGAGAAAAAGAAGAAACGAAGAGCAAACGATCCTCCAAACGAAGAATTTCTTTCTCCTTTTCGTTGTTCCAATTAACTTCTTGCGCTAGTATGTAACTGGTTCACGGACCATAACGAGTGACCAAACCGTTATAGAATAATTCGTCTTCTTTTTGAATTCATCGGTATATCACTGGATAGAAATTACTAAGAAGTAATAAATTTATTATTTGTTTTGCCTGGGTTATACTTAAATATACTTAAAACTGAGAAAATATGGCAATTTTAGGACAAAAGATTCTCGACGTGCGTTGGAGGTTAACCACTTGCGCTGGCAACTAATTGCGGACCGTAACGAGTGACCAACACGTCGTTTCAGCGCAAGAGGTTAACACTCCTTAAAATTCGGCAAAATTTTTCACTTCTGCAACTTCTTTCCAATTACACACACGATGGAAGGACGGACGTTTTTTGAAAAGCAGTTTCCGTTTGCACGCGTTCTGTAGAACGAATAAATGAATAAAAAGAACTAGCTGTACAGCACCTCTTGGTATACATGTTTCTTGAAATTCGGCAAATTCTCAAATTTCCAGTTCACAATCGGAAGATAAAAATCGACACGGATCGTCATAAATCTCGCAAGTGTTAATTTGTCCTTTCTGTCGAACGTCACACCGACACGACACACCGGGATATTCCCGGTCGCGTGGAATCTCGTCGCGTGTTAAGCGTGACATCGAATCGACAGACTCGTTCGCGTAATATGTACGTGCGCGAGAATGAGTTCCGTTCTTTTCCTTCCTCCCTCTTTTCCTTGGCACGACGAGTCTTTCGCGAAATTCGCGCAACGAGTTAGTACACGTACCGATGTACAAATACATGGCCGATGCACTTTTCGACGACTTTTCGGTCACTGGCTCTGGATCCACTTCCACTCCTCTCCCACCGCTTCCCTCCGTGTATTTCTTTCTCGGATGCTTGGGATACTGCCGCTTGTTTATTTTTGGTCGAGTCGAGGGGAACCCGCCGGTTACAGTAGCCTCCACGTAACTGAACACACTTTGAACCTCTGGACTTTGGACCAATTCTTGGAATTGGGACTATCCCCACTCTAGGCTACCTTAGAGGTGCGTGAAACACAATACTCGTGCACACAAAACAAACGATGTATACATGATACTAATCTATTGGTATTGGCGAAACAGTTTTTTCATTCTTTCTTTCGATGCCAATTCTTGGAATACACCTCTGTAACTGACCACTTTCGGTCTCGATTGTTGATCAGTTACGTAGGGAGTACTGTATTTGGCGAGAGTATCGCGAGCCATGGATGGGAACTTAATCCAGGTCAGGAATGCATCGACGGTTGAAAATCCCTCGATGGAGCGTAATATCGGAAGAACTCGAGCCGATTCTCTCGGAATTTTCCAACACAGCGCGTACATGTACGTGTGTTTCCCATGTATCCTCTTGGTTCAGCCGTTTTTCACACTGAAATTTCAATTTTCTCCAGCCGGTGACAAATTTATATGCGATTTGAACGCGAAGTGTACGAATTGTTTCGAGCAGCTGTTTCGCCAAATTTATCATCTGTTAGGCAGAGGTTGGTGGTTATCCGGGGAGGGGAGAGAGCATTCTTCGTGCGCATTTGTTTCCTTCTCGGAATACTTCGATAATGGAAACCGCGACCAACCTCGAGATTTAATTTATTTGTCGCGGTTTCAGGAACAGGCAGAGAGTGAAAGTACTTGTCGTTCTTTCATCGTTCGATTTGACACCTTTTTATAGATCTCGCTGTACTGTTTAAAACGATATTTTTCTGAAACGATTTTTCTCTTGATCTTCTAAGCTTCTCAGATATTCTTCTGTCTCTGAATTGATATCCTTGATATTCTTCTTGTTGAAAATTAATGTTCTTAATTCTACTTACTCGTACTTTATATTTTACTAAATTTAATGTTACACCCTTAAAATTGTATTTTAATTATTAATGATGAATGTCTGTGGATTAGTCTTAAATTTCAGTGTGTCATTCTTTTATCTTATCGTTCAAACGACACCTTTTTATACATCTCACTCTACTACCCAACAATAGAAATTTTTCTATGAAATGCTTTCCTTTCCTTTTCTTGATTTTCAAGTCAAGTGAAAATGGTACAATTTTAATTCTTCGCGCTTTTCATATTTCACTAAATGGTACTGAACTGTACTTTAATTACGATCAATATGCATCTGATTGGCTTTAAATTTCAGTGCGTAACATCAGAAGATTTCAGAAAAGGATCGACTCTTGAATGTGTCGCGAGAGAGTCGCCGCACACGCTCTCCATTTGCATTCGATCCATGTCCACATGTTTCCTCCCGTGTCGTCATGCTCCCTCTCACTGACATAAGATGTCAACCAGCCGTTCAAATCGACCAGTCACATCAAACGTGTCGCACGAATCGTGTCCCGGCTATTTTCGAAACTGGAGCCTTCCTTCGTCATCTTCGTTCTCTTTCTCTCCTGGAGTGCCGCGTCGATCAATCAGCGTTGATTAATCGAATTGAACGGCGGCAACCTCTTTTCGAATCGACGCCTATTAATATTGCAAGCCGCACCCAGCCCTCAGCCGAAATACATCTCCTTCGTTTCACATTTCGTGAACTCGATCACTTGTCAAACACTGTGCGTCCCGTGATTTCTCGCAGTCTTAACCACTCGCGCTGGCAACTGATTGCGGACCATAACGAGTGACCAAATACCGTCTACAATAATTCGCCGCTTTCTTTTTGAACTCGTCGGTATGACATCACTGGATAGAAATTATTGATAAGTAATCATAACTTTATTATTTGTTTTGCCTGAGTTATACTCAAATATATTTAAAACTGAGAAAATATTGCAATTTTGAAACAAAAAATTCTTGACGTGCGTGGCACGGCAGGTTAACCTCTTGCGTCAGTAACTGGTTCGCGGACCATAACGAGTGACCAAACCGTGTACAATAATTCGTCGGTTTCTTTTTCTTTTGAACTCGTCGATACGATATCACTGGATAGAAATTATTGAGAAATACTAAATTTATTATTTGTTTTGCCTGAGTTATACTCAAATATACTTAAAACTGAGAAAATTGCAATTTTGGGACAAAAAATTCTCGACGTGCGTGGCACGTTATTCCAGCGCAAGAGGTTAAATAACAATCGTTTCTCTCTCTCTCTCTCTCTCTCCCTCCTTTGGTTCTTCCCTCCGTGCAAATGTTTCTCTCTGCCTTGCGTGCACGAAACGCGTTTCACAGGTGGACTCGAGTACTGGAATTAAGAATTGTGACAAGAAAGATGTATCGAAGCGACACTGGTCTGGCTGACGATTCCCCCGGTCGAAGAGAAGCAACCGGGTTGCTTTAAGTTCCTCCTTAACCCATTGACGTACTTGGTACGAGCTACTCGATAACCCCTCGTGGAAACCCCATCGACTATTCACGCGGAGAGGCGAGCACGCTTTCAGGACACGCGACCGACAGACACGTCCCCGTTTCGTCCCTCCCTCCCTCCCACGCAGTGAATGACGAACGATTTTCGAGGGAGAGGGGGGAGAAGGCGAGAAAGCCACTGTAGGGGACATTAACGAGAAAGCTTTTCGTTTCAAGTTCGGAATGGGGAGAGAGAGAGAGAGGGAACGAAGACCAAGGCGAAGACCTTTTTTTTTTTCAAACGACACGGTACGCTTTTCGCGTGCTTGAAGCGAGAGGTAAGCGTGGGAGAGAACTTTTTGCCGTCTCTGTGGACGATAGAAGGACACGGTTGATCGGTGAAGAGGATTTTTCTTCCTACTCGTCGTCGAGAAAAGATGAGAATCCAGGGGAAACGGCCACAACGCGATCACAAGGACGCGAAGCCTCCTCGTGAAAGCACGAGGAGCCCAAGCGCGCGTTCAAGCCTACCACAGAGCGGCGACGAATCTCGAAAGCCGTGTAGGGGGTCGGTTAGAGCCCTCAGGTAAATAGCTGCTAACAACCTTTCTTTCTTTCTTTTTTTTTTTTTTTTTTTTGCCTTTGACGCTCCGAGGGAAAGCCTCGCGCGTCGTGCTATTAACGCAACCGTGTTGGGCTTCATCAGCGTTTACTATCACTGTCACGCCGTGACTGTCCCTCTTCCACGGATGCAAATAATAATCAAACTCTAATATGCCGATCGAAGCACTGACGGATCATTGAAGAAACAGAGAAAGAGAGAGCGAGAGAGACAGAGAGGGGGGGGGGGGGGGGGAGAAGAAAACGAGAACAGAGGGAACCTCGCAACGATCGAGCGATGGTATCCTGGTTCTGTTCGGGAGCAACGATGACCTCGAGCGTGTCTAAGGGGGTGGGTTGGAGCCTCGACGTCGAAGCTACGGAGCAAGCACACAGGAAAGATAGATCGCTGGGATCCGCGGTGGGTCGCGAATCGATCGTCGGAATCCTGGCCTCGAACGGTGTGAACGCAACCCCCAATGTGCGAGCACATCATCAACGAACATCGACGTCGAACGCCAACTGGATGGGAAAGCAACGAGAAAACGATGGAAAAATCGACGATTGGAAGTAAAGTTGGATGTGAAACGAGAGAGAGCGCCCCTTTAAACCAGAGGGAAGAAATCGTCGTCGATGATTGAAACCTCTTGTGTGTCTTTTTACTTACCCCAGTGTCGTGTCCTCCATGCCAACAATCGGGAAGCAATCGATCCCTGGTTCCCGCTCTACTCCATCCTCCCAGATCGGGCCCCGTGTTTGAGATCGTATCTCTCTCTCTCTCCCCCTCCTCTTCTTCTTCTTCTTCCTCTCGTGGCACGTTCTCTCTCGTGGGCCCTGGGCCAGGCGGCGTACCGTCACACACGCGTTCTCTGCCCCCGTCAGCTTACATCTTGACGGTCCGTGCCAGCTGTGTTCCGCAGGAGACACGCTCTCTCGGCCCTCTGCAGCGACACACGACGACCCACGTCCTACTCATGCTCGCACTCCATCCACCGCGCACACGCTCCTCGTTCTGCCCCTTACCTACTGCCTACTTCCCACCCAGGGATGTAGCCGTCTCTCCAGCTTCGGGCCACCGCCACTTTCACCGCCAATTTCGAAACCCAAGGCGAGGCGACAGTCGTCCTCTCGCAGACCTTTTGCAGATCTGGCGTTGTTTTTGTGAATTTCAGCCTCCGACTGTCCCAAAATGTAAATCTGACTCTGAACAAGGAAGAGCTTCTTAAAAATTTATATTGTCCTCTTCTAAAAAACAACTAGAAACACACTTTTTCTTTTTTAAATTCAACAACAACGACAACGAAATCTATCTAAGACTAGATTAATGAAGCTCAATGAAATCTCTGATTTTCAACAGTATGATCTGCCAATCTTGGTTGTCCAAGTGCTCCTCTATTTGTCCAACAGTGAAACACCAGTGCATTCGTTGATCCGCTGGTGAATAGAAAAAAAAAGGAACGCAGAAAGATCGAATCGAATGGCGGATAAAATAAAATAAAGAGGAAGGGGGGAGGGGAGAGGGAAATGAAGGCAACACGAACGACGAACAAAGAGCGGAAAATCGGGATAGACGGGGCGCCAGAATCGATGCAGTCCTCTCTGTGGATTTAGCGGGCAGTGGTAGGGGGCGCACGCTCCCCCAGGATAGGATTAGTCACGATCCCACTCGGTCGTAAAGTTTCAAAGGTAAAAGGAGAAAAAAGAAAAAAAAAAAAAAAAGAAAGAAAAAACGGTGGAACCTCGTAACGAGCTGTCACCTCGTACAGCTCTATTATTCCGGATCGGATCATGCACCGTGTAACCGAGCAGAATTTCTCCAGCGGCGACGTGTTAATTGTTTGGCCGTGGACAGCCGAAACTCGTTTCGGTAGCGCTCGAATCGATCGTAGAGCTCGACGAGAGGCTCGATCTGAAAATTGATGGAAAATAACGAAAGAACCGTGAAGGGAAATGAAATCGGGAAACAATTTCTTCTTTTTTTTTTTTACATTCTGACGAATTCATGAACGATAGAAAAAAAGTGTGTCGATCCACGAAGGGAAATTTAATAGACCAAATTGCACCTAACGTGCAAACTTCTCTTCTTCTCTGTTACGTTTGAAAGTCATGCCGTGTTATTATCTCGTTTACAGTTCTTCAGCTCGCGTTTGTTACCTGAATTAATTAATTAAAGAGAAAAATGAAGAGAGAAGCGTCGTTCCTAACGACATGAAATTGTTTAATGGATTCTCCCCCCTAGGGTCCAACGTTTGCAATTAACGAGCTTAGCAGGGTACTCGAGTTTACGTGTCCACCTCTGTATCCCCACTAGCCGATAAAAGTGCGCGCCACCACAAGCACAGGGCTGGTGCTACTCGTGAAATTGCCCCTGGAAAATAACGCTTGTCAACTCGACGTCATCAGAAATAAAATCGAGATGTTTTAACGTTAGAACTGTTTGTCCTTTACGTATACGTATATATTTCCTTTCTAACTCGATTGCACAGTTAGTTGCGAATTTCTCAGTTTGAGAGTTCTCCTTTGCTTGTTCATGTATATACGCCGTTCGATTAACATGGCGTCGCCCTTAGGGCCGTCGCGGCGCCAACTACCATTGGCGATCGATGCGGTCGCAGTCCTTGCCAAAATGGTGTGCCCTATGCAACCAATAACCAAGAAACAATCAGACGATAAATTTCTCCACGTTGGACAAAGATTTAAAGCTATTATTTTTTTCTACCTCTTTTTTTCCCCTGTGTTGTTGTCTTCCTTTCGGTTGTAAAGTACAACTCGCTTCTGAATTGTCGTTCCTTATCGATTTCGTTGGAATAAATACAATTTGGCCTCGTGAATTAAAGAAACGTGTACGTGATCATTTTATCCCATTCGATATAACCGAGTCCCGAGAACATGCAACACACGAATTTCTAAATGACACGTTGATGATTAACGATTCATGATCGACGATCGACGATCGTGCAGGGAAACACTCGGGGTCGTCTCATATGAAAGTTTTCTTTTTTTATTTCGTTAGTACGTACATATTTGCGCCAGCACAAAAAAGGATCATATTATATAAAATGAGAACAATGCTGAGTTTCCTTTTCCGAGACTAGACACATATAGGGCGTGGAGATCTCAGGATCATTATGTTTTTTTTTTTGTTTTTTTGATCGTCATTTAGACTTTTCTCGAAATTACCGATGACCTTGAGATCCAACAACAAGAACGTACGCGATAATCGCAGTTATTGATCTCTTAGAGAGGCGTCGACCGACTCTTCGTCGTCAACCCTTATTTAGACAACAAAAGAAAAAAATATACATAACAAGGGATCACTTTACAAATCAATAAATAAATTTAAGCCAAACTTTTTACATAAAATTTCGACGTCAAAAATCATTTAAATCACGATGATACTTTCACTAGGCAAAACAAGAAATTGCTAAAAGAAACACAGAAATTGGATAACTGTGCATCTGGTTGCCTAACACGCCAGGATTAGACATGCAGGTCTTTCCTTCTCTCTTTCACAATTCTTTTATAATCACTATGTTCTCTGCGCTGGAATATCAATAGTTAGATCGGTCAAACTGGTTCGTCACAAAAAAAAAAAAAGAAACTCGTAAAGAATCTTTCAGTTTCCCTCAGAACCGAGAAACATTCCAACGCAGAGAGTTGATCACAACAAAACACAGATTGATCAACGCACTATACCATGAAGAGTCGACGAGGATACATCGCAAGTTCGCAAGTTCATGGTATTTACAAGGGCAGTGTTAGAAGTATACTAATAAAAGGCAGGCACTAAATGACTCTTCAAGGTCTCTCCCTCTTCCCCTAGCAAGCAGAATAAATCAAAACGCGCAATATCGTTGTCTTCTTGCTAGTGTCTGACCGCTCTTCTTTCATACACTTTTGTGAATTCCACACGACAAGGGATACACTGAAAGACAACTGTAAATTATCTAGCGTTATTGAAACTTAGACACAGCGTTTGTATTAGTTGCGCTTAAATGTCGCAGTTATGGCGTTAATTAACGACTGTCAAGCTTAAGTACGTATTAAAAATGCATGAAATTATATTGTAATCATTCTGTCCTCTATCTGTAAAGAAGCGGCGACGCTTGTCCCTTTATGCTGAACTGAGTAAATTTAAAAATTTGAAAAACAATCGTGTCGGTTGTTTCTTTCTCTTTGCTTCTTCTCCGCGACTCACACAAAAACGTATATTACGTTTTGAGTTCGCATCGTGTTCCTTCAGCGTGGAATGAGTTTTTGCGAGACACTCTGTGCAACATTGATCCTCAGAGTCGAAATGAAGCCGTGTACATAGCTTATTGCTCATGATTCTCTATTATATTTTTTTTTTTCTTGTGGCGCCTCCTTCGTGTCTAGCTGCGATCTACAAAAATAGTTTTCACCCTCTTCGGCAATCTTGTCTTCGTCTTCGTTTTTCCATCGATACTCATTGCATTGTCCCGAAGTAATGCGAATTACATCACGGTTTAAAAATTTCACTTATAAACCTAATTTCGATCGACTCTTCTCTTCGTCGAACTCTCTCCCCCTCCTATCGTTACAAAACGTTAATAAATTGAATTTAATAGCTCACTAGATAACATTTCTAACACGGTGAATTTGGCTGAGGAATTGAAAAAGAGTACCATTACTGTGATCGATTAATAACCTATTCGTCTCTAATTCGATACCAATGCGCTTGCAACATTTAGCTCTACAATGGTTTTTTTTTTTTTTTTTTGGTACATCTTCAAATTTTACAATCGAGTCACTAACAAGATCTGTACAATGTGGTACTTGGTACAACGCTCGCTACTTGGAAAACAATCGGACGCTATTCAAACTAAGTTTAAGTTTACATTTTGTTTCATTTGTTTCTTCTTCTTTTTCCCCCCCGACAGGCTCGACTGCAATCTACGCTAAACAATTCAGTGCGAAGCTTCGAAGAAGAGTCGCAAGATTCACTGTGGCAAACGCCACCAGCGTTGGAGTTCTTCTCTTTTTCCATAAAAACAGATGATACAGAATATACGTGTGCCTATGTGTAAGTGAAAATTTCGTCCCGTTTCTATCGAAGTATGTTCAGTATGTATTGTAAAAAACTCAAGCTTCTCGTTCGTCGCGCGCGCGCGCGCACGCAAGCTCGCCTCTTCCCAGTCCTTAACGTTACCCGTTATGCTTCTCAAACCCTGAAGAATCGATAAATATATAATTTCTAGAACGATTACTCGGCATATACGTGTATATATATAAAAAAGTCCCGAGTCCCTGGATCGTAATACGATCTATGACGTAGGTACTGAGCCGAGGCCATCTCGGCTCGTAGATCCGTTTGTCAGGAGATCAGATCCCTGTACACAACTCTCTCTCTCAGGTATGTTTCGCGTCGTCCGACGACTCGCTGCAGAACCTTCTTCATGAACGAATGGAAGACGTGGTGGTCGAAGACGTCGACACGAAGCGATTCAACTTGCTGTCGATTATGATCTCGTCGCCGTTGCGGATGTTGTATCGGTACAGCTGCTTGTTCGGGTACAGCATCTCTTCCGGCCCGTACTGCGACTTCATCACCTGAACACGACAAAATTTCAACATCAAAAGAAGAAGAAGAAGAAGAAGAAGAAGAAAGAAAAATAAGCATAGTTTGGAGACTATGTGTTTCATATTGATCTACCTTGTTATGCGATTATTTGTGCATGTGTGTGTAACTATGGTCTTGTGGTTGGAAGTTCAACGGCCGGGAGGGAGAGGACGCGTGGGAAAAGGAAGTGGAAGATTCTTACATGGCGATTTCGTGCTTTTTGTAGGGTCTCTCGAGGAACCAGACGTTCTGCAATGCGTGAAAAGAAAAGCCGATAAGACAATAGTTGACAGGGCAGCTAACCTGATCCACGTAAAACAGTCTCATCCTATTCGCCGGGATTTTCACCATCGTCTCCAGCTTGGTTTTCAACTCGAAAACCGTTCTGTACACGTCTATGGACCGAACCTACAAGTAGCATCGGTGATATTTATAGCAGTTCAAGTGGTCAGCGCAGAAGAAGACAAAGCCACACCCTTCCATCGTTTCAGAACCCTTTTGCGAAACTTAATCTCTTGCCTCTTGTCAAGTGAACAAAATAAGAGCCGATGAATCGGCTATTTGTCTTGAATTTAGATGTGAAATGGGAACATTGGAGAAAGCCAATATTCCCGGGATTCGATAACTGCCGCTAATTGGCTTTCGGCTTTCGAGCAAATTGTAAATTTATACCTCGATCAGATCTCCGTAGGTGAACGTGACCTTGACTCTTTTCTCGGGCGTCAGGTCAACGTGCACCAGAGGGTCCAGCTTTCCGTGAATAGCCACCAGCTCGGAGTACCTGAAACAGAGAGATGGAACAGGGTCAAGCGTAGATTCGTTCATCCACCGGATGCGACAACTATGGCCGTGAAACTTAGAATAGCTTTATGGTTCTGGTTCAAACTTAGAATAGAAACGAGTCAAAACAGCGACCGAAATGGAAATGGAAACTGGCTGACTGAGGCGGGAATGAGGGTAGAGTAAAGGTTATTTCAGTCGGGCAACATCCGAGCCAAACTGGAGCAACTTGTCTTGTAATTCACCGAATTCAACTGTGAACCATCTTCGAGCGACCTACATTTGAAAATGAACGCTGTTTATTTTGAAAGTGGCCCCGAGACCAAAAAGATCAAGCCAGCTGTTTTTTAACATTTACATTTATCTACCGTTATCATTTCATTTTTAAACAAACTGTAACTAATGCATCTCTGAAATCACTGAGA